CCTCCAAGCCTATGGCACACTTTTTGGGGTTGGCGGTAAGACCTGCTTTCCTAAGCAAATTTACTACTGATTGCACCCGGGCAAATGAGACTCCCAATCTGGGCTGTGAATGACTACATCGTCCAAATAGGCAGCTGCATATTGGCGATGTGATCTTACCGTTCTGTCTATCATTCTTTGGAATGAGGCAGCAGCACCATGCAAACCAACGGCATCCACTTATATTGGAAGGACCCCTCGGGGGTAAAGAATGCTGTCTTTTCTTTTGCAGATTCCATTAGGGGTATGTGCAATAGCCTTTAGTCAGATCTAAGGTAGTTATGTATCGGGCCGTTCCCAACCTGTCAATGAGCTGATCCACCCGAGGCATCGGGTAAGCATCGAACTTAGACACACTGTTCAATTTTCTGAAATCCTTACAAAATCAGATGGTTCCATCTGGCTTTGGGACCTACACTGTGCGACTGGACCAATCACTGTGAGATTACTCGATCACTCCCAACTCTAACATGTTCTTTATTTCATTTGCCACTGCTTTCCACCTGGCCTTGGGTATTCTATAGGGCTTTAGATTTACACGGATACCCGACTGTGTAACTATGTCATGCTGTATTACTGTGGTCATTCCGGGTAGCTGAGAGAAAAAAATCTCCATTCTTTCTCACAAACTCCTTAATGTCATTCTGTTGGGACACTGACAAGATTTCAGTTTATAGGTACCTGAGGTGTCATGGGGACTATGTCCTTTTGGGGGTTTGGTACTGGCAGTAAAGTCTCTCTGTCCTTCCAAGGTTTTAAGAGATTAACAGGATATATTTTCATAGGTTTCCTTTTCCCTGGCTGGTAAACGTTATAGTTTACTTCACCTACTTTCTCCATAATTTAAAAGGAACCTTGCCACTTTGTGAGGAATTTACTCTCCACTTTGGGAACTATCTCCAGGGTTGAAGGTACGGATCTTGGCACCCCAATTATAAACCCTTCTCTGGGCCTCCTGGGCTCCTTCCATATGTTCCTGTACAAGCAGCATGATGGCTGCAATTCTATCCTTCAACTGTGAGATATGCTCGATGACACATCTATAGGGTATGGTCTCTCCCTCCCACATTTCTTTTGCGACATCTAGCAACCCCCTGGGATGTTTACCATACAGTAGTCCAAAAGGGGAGTACCCTGTAGATGCCTGAGGTACTTCTCATATAGCAAACGTGGTACAGTAACAAAAAAATCCCAATTTCTCCCATCTTTGTCCACCACCTGTTTTAATATACTCTAGCATCTTGTTAAATCTCTCCACAAGACCATCGGTTTGGGGGTGGTAGATCGAGGTATGGAGATGGAAAATTACAACTTACACAATTCTTTTGTGACTCTGGACATAAATGGTGTGCCCTGATCCATTAACCTTCCTAGCAGTAATCCTGAGTGTGGCTCGGGGTCAATTTACAGTACCAAAAGCGGTAACCACAAGCCACACTCGGGATTACACTGTAGTGCTTGTCCTGCGATCCCCCGGTCCTTACCTTGTCTTGCGATCCCCCGATGTCCTCCCACTGTGTCTTCCATCATCATGTCCTCCGGCCGATGCTGGCATCCGTCTGTGTTCCCTTCCATGTGAGCGCCGGTACGCAGGGGGGCGGAACCGGTGGTATATTCAAAAAAGTAAAAATATGACATACACAGAATACATTGTAATCTATTAAGATTACATTACTGTATCAAACCATTTCACCTACATTTTGTTCCTAGTGCTTTGTCCAGTGCCCTGCCTGCATTATTACCATTCTTTCCTCCTGGAAACTTGAGAACTTCCATGGCATCCAAAAAAGCATCCCTTTAGGTCAAAAGCAATTTTAGACCAGCTAGAAAACAGCAATAGGGAATTAGAGTCACTTTCAGAATTGAGCGATAGTGATTTGTGGGGAAATTCGTCATCAAACACTTAAAACGATTCTGCGACTAAGCTCAGTGATGTGCAAACTCTGTGCTCTATTTCAAATTTCAGTGTTTTTGGTTTGATTACATTATTGAATTAAATTATATTATTTTTTTATATTATTTATTATATTATAATTTATGATTTTGTGTTTCGATCGTTATCATACCCTGGGTGTTTACTAGACTCTTGTTTGGACAGATTTAAGTGAGTTATTCCTAAGAATTACATGTCTACAATATACAATATACAACAACAAATTTCCATGCAAAACAATGTACCGCTTTGCCATTCAAAAATATTGATTCGTTAGACCGCCAGAGAGGTTAATACTTCTTTTTGAATACCTACATGACCAAATACCTGGACAAACTCTCTGGCAATAGTCTCATCAGAGGTATTACGCAAGGGAATGGCTTCAAGATACGGTGTGGCATAGTCCAGTATAACCAGTATGTGCTGATGGCCCCGGGCAGACTTTACGACTGGTCTCATTAGATCCATGCCCACTCTTTCAAAAGGCACGTCAATTATCGGTAAATGTACCAGTGGACTACAAAAATGGGGCGAGAAGGTGCAGAATACTGACACTCTGGGCATGACTTACAATATTCTTTGGCATCTGCATGTAAACCAGGCCAAAAGAATCTGTGGGTTATTCTCTCCTTTGTTTTTCTCTATACCCAGGTGTCCATCTATTATATGACCATGGGCTAAATCTAGTACCATCCAGCAAAAGGGTTTGGGGACCACTAGCTGCTCCACCACCTCCTTCCCTTGCTTTACCACTTGATACAGCAAGCTCTATTTAAGAACCATGTAGGGAAAAAACACTGCTATATCAGTTTCAACTGTTCCCCATCAATCATTTTAATGTTTTCTCAGGCTCTATTAAGTGTGGGGTCTTTCAGTTGTTCGGTACAAAAATCCTCTTTTCTGACCTCTAGGTCAGGTACCACATTCTGTCCACTCTCATTAGAGCCAGAGATAATCTCTTGTTCAGTATCCTCAACCTCTGGGTTGGAATCCAGCTCCTCCTGCTCCCCAGCTATTGCAGAGGAAGGGAAAGGATCTACCCCTTCCTTGGGCACACTAACAGTTTCTCCTTCAACGTTGATGTCAAAAGGGTCAGGAGTTAGTTCAGGTGTTTCCCCAGCAGGGGGAGCTCAGCGGCCGTATATCTCTCCACCAGGTCCACCAGCAGGTTTTCAGTCTTATGATCTCTATGGCTGACCAAATTCCAAAGTGCCTGGGAGCGCCTGTAGATATTGGTCCATGACCACACGCTTCACAACCTAAGGGGCTGACAACATGTCTGGCTGGAGCCACTTCCTGGTGAGAAGTATTAAGTCAATAATCTGGGAGTGGGGTGGCTTACTGTATGATCACTGATGCACCTTTTGAGCCCTGACTGCAATGGTGACGCCCAGGTGTACAAGCACCTCAGTCTTCAGCTTCTCATAATCCTGGGTAGCATCTGGTTCCAGGTCATAATAGGCCTTTTGGGGTTCACCTGTCAGAAATTGTGCAAGCAATCCCACCCATTGCTCTTTTTCCCATCCTTCCCAAACATCAACTGTCAGGAATGGACTTGCCAATAGTGGTGGGACTCACCAGCCTTGTGGGCTGCAGTACCAGGCTGGCCAGCGGGTGCTCTCAACAACCAGAGGTTCACTTCGGCAATTAGCCATCACCTGGGGCTGATTGCAGGTGGTGTGTTTAAGGGATGGCCAGACCTGCAGTCTGTGCCTTGGTGTGTGTTTTTCCATGGGCCCCTGTATCTTGTAACCTGTATTCCTGTTCCTGTTTCTGCCTGACTTGTTGCCGACCCTGCCTGATCCTGACCTCTGCTGACTTCTCCTGTTTGATCCCTGGCTTGTGACCCTGACCATTCTCTCCGCCTGCTCCTCCTGTACCTACCTGCCCGATAGTTATCGACCCGGCCTGCCTGACTACGTTGTGCTCTATATGTGTATGTACCTGTGTATCTATATCAGTTTAGATTTGGGTTTGTTTCACCTTGTTGTATGTATTTGTGTTAGCTTGGGGTTTGGTGCACTGCGTTTATGTTTGTATTGTTAGTCTTAATAAATTGTCTTATTTATACCATATCTGAAGCTTGCATTTCCCTGTGTCAGTCCACACACTTCTGGTCACACCCGCATCCCTGACATTACACCAAGGCCATCCTGACCAGAAGTGGCTGCACAGGGAAGCCATCTTGTCTTGTTGCTGGGAAGGATGGATCTTGATGAGGTTGTGTATTTGTCGCTGCTGGTTTTTGATGACAGAGGATACCTTTGATTCAGGTTTGTGCAGAGTTGGCTTCATCTGGTACCCCTGAAAGCAGGAATGACTTTTTGCCACCATTTAGTGCAGACCAGATAGAGTCCCTGGTATGGTTATTAGAGGATGATGTGGATTGCTTCTTGGAGCATTATGCTGCATGTTCACAACAGGGTATTAAGGGATTGTATAAACGCAGTGCAGTCTTTGACCAGACAGGCTTTGTGTAAGCTGAACTTTGTTCAACCCATACTGCAGACATGGTCAGACTTGTTGCACCCAGCCTCAGTCAGCTTACAACGTCATTCCTCTGCTCAAGGCACTCTTCCTGCATCCCCGACAGCACCCCCAGTGATGGCCCAGTATACTCTGCTAACTACCACATATCAGTCCTCTGCTCCCACTCGCTGCACCTATCCTTTCTTTAACCCTGTAAAGAAGTCCTCTGTAGCAACTGCTCCCTCCTCTGTTCCATCCTCCAGCTCTTCTCTGTCTTCAGCTGCTCCATCCGTTTATAAACATGCGCTTACTTACAGTGCTCCGGTAACTAAAACCAGGAAAAGGTGAAAATTCTTTCCAACCAATACCATCCTGCCAGTATCCAAACCGGTCAGCCTGCCATCTGAGAACCCACCTTCCATGGTTCAGCCTGATATCTCTACCCAGCCTGATGTCTCTACCCAGCCTGATGTCTCTACCCAGCCTGATGTCCTTACCCAGCATGATGTCTCTACCCAGCCTGATGAACTGATCCAGCCTGATGATCCTATTATGCCAGACGACTCGGTGCCCGCAGTCTTGCCAGATGACTCGGTGCCCGCAGTCTTGCCAGACGACTCGGTACCCGCAGTCTTGCCAGGCGACTCGGTGCCCGCTGTCTTGCCAGGCGACTCAGTGCCCGCTGTCTTGCCAGTTGACTCGGAGCCCGCTGTCTTGCCAGATGACTCGGAGCCCGCGGTCTTGCCAGATGACTCGGTGCCCGCTGTCTTGCCAGACGACTCGGTGCCCGCGGTCTTGCCAGACGACTCGGTGCCCGCGGTCTTGCCAGACGACTCGGTGCCCGCGGTGTTGCCAGACGACTCGGTGCCCGCAGTCTTGCCAGACGACTCGATGCCCGCTGTTCCGCCAGTTGACTCAGAGCCCGCTGTTGTGCCTGGTGACTCGGAGCCCGCGGTCTTGCCAGATGACTCGGTGCCCGCGGTCTTGCCAGACGACTCGGTGCCCGCGGTCTTGCCAGACGACTCGGTGCCCGCGGTCTTGCCAGACGATCCAATGCCTGATGATCCAGTGCCCACTGTCATGCCTGGTGAGCCAGATGACCTGGTGACCGCGGTCAAGCAAGACGATCCAATGTCTGATGACCCGGTGCCCGCTGTTGTACCTGGTGACCCGATGCCCGCTGTCGAGCCAGATGGCCAGGTGCCTGCCACTCCGCCTGGGGGCCCGGTGCCTGCTGCTCCGCCTGGTGGCCAGGTGCCTGCTGCTCCGCCTGGTGGCCCGGTGCCTGCTGCTCCGCCTGGTGGCCCGGTGCCTGCTGCCCTGCCTGGTGGCCCGGTGCCCGCTGCTCCGCCTGGTGGCCCGGTGCCCGCTGCTCCGCCTGGTGATCCGGCATCCAGCCTGATGTGCCTCCGTCCGGTGCCCAGCCCGAAGTGCCTCCGTCCGGTGTCCAGCCCGAAGTGCCTCCGTCCGGTGCCCAGCCCGAAGTGCCTCCGTCCGGTGTCCAGCCCGAAGTGCCTCCGTCCGGTGCCCAGCCCGAAGTGCCTCCGTCCGGTGCCCAGCCCGAAGTGCCTCCGTCCGGTGCCCAGCCCGAAGTGCCTCCGTCCGGTGCCCAGCCCGAAGTGCCTCCGTCCGGTGCCCAGCCCGAAGTGCCTCCGTCCGGTGCCCAGCCCGAAGTGCCTCCGTCCGGTGCCCAGCCCGAAGTGCCTCCGTCCGGTGCCCAGCCCGAAGTGCCTCCGTCCGGTGCCCAGCCCGAAGTGCCTCCGTCCGGTGCCCAGCCCGAAGTGCCTCCTTCCGGTGCCCAGCCCGATGTGCCAGTCTTTGATATCCCGCCAGTCACCGGACCCGGGCGGTGGAACATTTTGCCCAGCTAGGACTGTTTGGAGCGTCCTGAGGCCGCTCCTTGAGGGGGGGGGGTACTGTCAGGAATGGACTTGCCAATAGTGGTGGGACTCACCTGCCTTGTGGGCTGCAGTACCAGGGCTGGCCAGCGGGTGCTCTCAACAACCAGAGGTTCACTTCGGCAATTAGCCATCACCTGGGGCTGATTGCAGGTGGTGTTTTTAAGGGATGGCCAGACCTGCAGTCTGTGCCTTGGTGTGTGTTTGTAGCCTTTTTTTTTTTTGTCATACCTTCTAACATTCTGCTTAAACTTTGTGATTTGTAATAGTACTGCTTGGACTTTGAAGAAGGGGACATACCCCGAAAGCTTGTCCTCAAAATTGTATGTTAGTGCAAATAAAAAAAATATCACGGACAGTACTCAATTGTTTCTGTCAGGGTGTTAACTTAAAAAACACACCCGCAATGGTTTGTGTGAATGGGGTGCAATTATAATGCGGTGAGGAAATCCCACAGAAACCAGTGTGAACCCAGGCTTAGACAAGACAAGTACATTCTCTGCACCACGGGTGGGGGCAGAGAATACAACCGTGAAATAAAAATAAGATACTTGAAGGAAAGGAAAGTTGGGAAAAGAGGAGAAAGAAGAAAAAAAAAAAAAAAAGACGTGGGGGTGAGGTAAGAGGGACAGTGGTGGACATGAGGACTCCTAGGTGGAAGGGTAAGGGGTAATAATACAGACGAACAACAAAAAAAGCCTCCTAAATGAAAGGGGCTGCGGATTAGGTCAAAATGAAAAGGTGAGAATGGGGTGGACTAGGGAGTAACTTATAAATATATGACATTCAGCTCAGGTCTTATGAGTGGGAATGTCGATTGTGGAGAGCTTTTCAGAGGAAGAATAGTGTAACCATATAAACCATAAATTATTATGTTTTTTTCCAATTGTCTATTTCCCTATCCTGCATTTCCTCCATCAGCATGATACCATTTATGTCATCCACCTATAAAGTTAGTGGCGTGGTGGTCGTGACTTATAAAATTTGGAGATAAGCTGCCTCATAGCTGACAGAAGAAATCTCAGCAGGCAGGAATTTTGAACTTTGATAGAGCCCGGTAGAATAGACAGTAGAGCTATGTTAGGAGAAAAGGGAAGAAACTCATCATACATCTCGTTATAAACCTGAAATACCTGAGTCCAAAATGGGCAGATTCTATCACAGTCCCACCAAATATAAAGATATGTTCGTCTCTCACAGTGACAGCACCAGCAAATTTAGGTAGAGATGGGGAAGATTCTGTGAATGGATACCAGACCCCAATACCACCTAGAGATCAATTTAACGTTTTTCTCTTGAGCATAGGCAGAAACTGAGAATTTGTGGGTAAATAGGAAAGCCATTTGCCAGTCTTCAGGGGAAATCTTAACCTCCAGATCCCTCAACTAGAGTCGAGCGTAAGTGGGTAAAACCTGGTAAGTGTGGTTTAGAATTATTTTATATAGCTGTGACGAAGTGGCTCGGTATGAAGGCAGATATTTTCAAAGTCTGTCTAAGGCCTGTGTATTTTTGAATCATATAGAGTTTTACAATACATAGCTATGCATAGAGTCGTCAACCAGTCTAATAATCCAGAGACTCTGTTATTAGGTAAGCGAAAGGATCCTAGTGTAGGGTGTAAAAAAGAATGTGCCGTGGGCCAAGATAGTTAATCATAAGAGCCATAGGTCAAGACTCCTCTGCTCTCTGGCAAGGCCAAATTGTCAAATATAGGAGTGAGTGGACTTGGGTCAGTTGATAGGGAGTATGAGTCTCAATGACGGTACCAAAGTGAAAGTGAGGCTAACATCAAAAGGTGAAAGTAAAGACATGCTGTGATATGTGGTGCTATAGCCCCATAATAACATCCATAGATCAACTGGGGACATGTCTTGTTCGATGAGGGTTTTATTAGAGGGTGTGGGAACCACTCTAAGATTCGGGAGAGTAAAGCTGATGAGTGATATATCTCAAATTCTGGAAGGCCCACTCCTCCATCAGATTACACAGGTCTGCGACTAAAAAGCAGTTTGATTATTTTCATCTAATTTCCATGTATTTTGGTGTGCTGAAAACAAATACAATATTGAAAAAACTCCTAGATGTCATGATTTACCACAAAATGCAAAATTGTCTTCAAATTTGTTTAATTTTTGGGGTTTTTTTTATATTATTTAAACGAATTTAAAGTCCAAATTACTATTAATTAATTCACATAAGTGCATTTAAGATAAAAAAATGCCAAAAAAACCTTAAAGAGGTTGTCCGAGTTATGTAAAAAAAATATAGCACTGTAAATCTGATGGTCAGCAATATATACATAAGCTAAGCAAATTTTAGGGAAAAAATTCTATTTCCTCATTTCCCTAGTTCTCTTCTGGCCCTTTGTTGTTATTTGCAGGTAAACAATCTCTGCCCCTCCCTCTTGCAAAGGGGGTGAATACAAGTGCTGCTCTGAGTGACATGTCTGACTACTGGGATACTCAGCAGCATGCTGTATGTGTAAGCCTCAGCCCTGAGTCTGTGCTTCTAATGGTAGAAGGGGTTAATCTTCCCTGAAGAATCCAGTGGGTGGGATACCAAATATCCTTCTTTTCTGTGTCTATGGGATAGTCAAGACTGACAAAATCACTGGACCAAGAAGAGTTGGCAGCTGAGGGTGCTAACAGTTGGTGAAAAAAATGTCCTCCGAGAAACTTTGGTACCTTCCCATAAAGTTCTTTTACCACCTCTCCACATAAAATTGGGATTGATGAAGCAATTCGTAAAATAACTTCCAAGAGATGGAGAATGCTTCAAATATTTGGTCACCAAGTTTCCAGGACTGTCGGAGGCAAAATTGAAGGAAGGTGTGTTCGTCGGACCAGACATTAGAAGGCTTATAGTTGATCAAGAGTTTGTCAATACCATGACGGATCCTCAAAAAGAAGGGTGGATTGCATTTAAAGTCGTACAGAAATTTTTAGGCAATAACAAAGATCCTCACTACAAAAAGATCATTGGACGAATGCTGACAGCATTTCAAGCTTTAGATTGCCTGATGAGTTTGAAAGTACATTTCCTCCAGTCCCACCTTGACTACTTTCCTGAAAATTTGGGAGCTGTGAGTGAGGAACAAGGTGAACGATTCCACCAAGACATTAAAGAGATGGAAAGGAGATACCAGGGAAAATGGAGCATTACAATGATGGCAGACTACTGTTGGATGCTTCAGAGAGACATTCCAGATGCTACTCACAAGCGTAAATGCACCAAGAGGAGCCTCACAGGGAAGAAGAATCGAGTTTAGTGTGTGTAGGTAAGCTCATTTCAGTTCAAAAAAAGGATTTTCATGAAAAAAGTGTAAAACTTTAATTTTATAAGTCTATTTCCATTTATTTTGAGGTATTGCCTTATTTAACATAATTACCTAAATTGTCAGGAAACGTGATGTCCTATGACAGAATGGAGGTCCTTTTCGGATTGAGCGCACCAAAAAACAAAGATTTATTTATTTATTTCAGGTACTTATATAGCGCTGTCAATTTACGCAGCGCTTTACACATATATACTATATATATTGAATGTTCACATCAGTCCCTAACCCTCAAGGGGTGTACAATCTAAGGTCCCTAACTCACATTCATACATACACATATTAGGGCCAATTTAGACAGGATCCAATTAACCTACCAGCATGTCTTTGGAGATTAAAGATTATGTGGAATAACCAAAACAGCTCATGAAAAAATTTTCTTTGCAGACCTGTGTTATGATAGCATAAAAGTTTGGAAGATGCTGCCAGATAAATTGTATGGCAAGGGAGTGCAGGGTCCAGGAAAAAGTTACTTGAAGTGCAATTGGTATTGTTTGGAATAGATATAACTTCGGTAATATGTCCATTTTTAACACACTTATTTGTCCAAAGCCAGAAAGTTCTTAAATGATGCCAAGATTCTAAGGATCTTCTAATTTTAGTAAGTAAAGGGCTGTAATTAAGGGAATATAAATCCTGGGTGAACACAGGAATCTCTGTACCTAGGTATGTAATAGACTTGGTTTGCCAATTGAAAGAAAATTTGCTTTTAAGAGTAGAAAGGACAGACTGGGGTAAGGAGATATTCAAAGCTTCTATTTTGGCAATATTCAATTCAAAGTTGCTAATTGATCCGAATCTATGGAGTTCATGCCAGAGAGAAGGAATGCTAGTATGGGGTTGAGTCACAAAGTAGAAGATCGTCAGCATATGACAATTTACAGTGAGAGGAGTGTGTGTGGAGATCTTTTATAGAATCGTTATTGTGAATTGCGTGAGCCAAATTTTCTATAACTATTTCAAATAAAAGGGGAGAAAGGTGGCAACCCTGTCTGGTACCATTGGCTATAGAAAACCAGATATAGAAAATCAGATCGGGTCCCATTTGCTAAAACTGCAGCCGAGGGCAAGGAGTAAAGTGACATTATATGGGTGAGCATTTTAGGGCCTATGCCCAATTGGACCAATGAGAGGTGAAGAAAAGGCCATCTGACCTGTAGAATGCTTTTTTAGCATCACATGCGAGTAAACATG